AAACATGTGATTCGGTTTTCGTTCTCTAGATTGTCTCTAAAGCTGTAAAGCTGATTTCATTCATAACATTCCTTTTAAGACAATGATTTATCTTTGGAAATTTTTGAAAAGCCGGCCTTGAGGTCTATTACAGTTGTGTGCGTGAATAATCATTTGAACTAAGTGACTGGTCATTATTTATCACGTGGGAGGGGAGGGTGGGAGGATTTTGGTTGTGTTACGATAAAATTTAGCTGATACCCTTCATAAGGCTCTGTAGGCCTCGCAGTGTGCAAAGATACGTGAAAGAGACAATTTACCATGTGGTTGTTTTCTATCTACTTTCTTTGTAGCTGAATAGTGCAAAGGATAGGTAAAGTAAATTTGCTGAAAATTCATTTCAAAACAGTGACGTCATAAGTCAAGAAGAACTTCAGTTTTTTTTATGACTGATCCTTTCCGACATCAATTGTAGTTTTATTTCAATTACCGCTGGAAATTAATCATCCGCTCAGATGAAGTTTTGGTAGCTTTGGGAAAAAAAGTACCATCAGGTACAAGCTTATTGGATTCTGATTGCTAACTCGGGTTGAGGCTTTTACGTAAAAAAAAATCTGTGTGAATGCCGTGTTTTTGATATATTTTATCGGGTTGTCTTTCAGACGAGACAATATCATTAGGCAGCGCTTTCAATGCAAACATCTACAAGGGGTCTGTATGATGAGCATGGCTTGAATGATTTTGCTCAGAGTGTTGACGTGCCGAGTTCACGAACTTCTTACAACTAAATGACCACCAAAAAAAATTAAAATGACTGAAACCATCAATTCGTACTACTAAAGATCTTAATAAATGAACTGGAATCAGAAAACTATAATTAACAGCTATATTTCAGAACGTATTACGTTCTAACCAGGTTGGCGATCAGGGCAGCAAGTCGAGGAAAATTTTGATTAAAAAATGAATTTATAATTCTAAAGAAGTTAGAATTTTGCGAACGAGTTGATGTTTTACCGTCTCTATCGGCGCCACACCTCAAATTCAGCATAACGTATGAGAGCGGCGTTGAGTTCCAAATTGAAACTTAAATAATTTGCCGTTGGAGTTTCCTTTCTCAGTCGACGCAAATTTTGGCGAATTCACGCAATTTTTTACGAGGACGGCTATGCAATGTATGAAATTTTAAAACGCACGTGCAGAGCCATGGTTCTGCCCTTTGGATCTTTTGTTTTCCCACGTCGTCGTCTCCGTCTGAGTTTGAGCATAATTCTGATTTCGTATAAACAAAGCCTCACCAGATGGAAAGTACAAAGAAGCAGTCCATTCACATTATTCATATCTATCACCATATATGGCTTAAAAATTAATTTTTAGTGTACACTCCAAAGTATCATGCTGTTTTGACAAGCTCTAGTTTATATAACTCAACCATAATTTTCCTATTCATTTCCTGCTACTTTTCTTTTCCATTTTTTTCCATTTCTAAACTCTTAGCTTTTGCTTCTCACAAGTTAGTACAGGCTGTAGTGCCTCAATTCAATTTTGGGCGGCTCAACTCGATTACTCTAGTACAAACAGCCGCGGAGACTCTTTAGACCGTTTCTGGCCTCGCTTGAGATAATGTGTTCCTTTGAATTTTGTACTGGTTGGTGCAGGCTGTAGTGTTTCAATTCCACGTTGGGCGGTTCAACTAGATTAGTCCTGCACAGATAGCTGAGGAGACTCTTAAGTCCCTGACGATAATTTCCACTAAAAATGAAAAACATGTAAGGGTTTATAGCACAGTTTGATTGAGCTAAAAAATACGCGATATGTTGGAAGTATTGGAAACTACAAAATGATATCATAATGTTGTCTGATGAATAGAGGCTTAATAACATCCGGATGGTGGCGGGCAGCCAGCACACCATGACACGTGACACGTGACACCGTGAACACCAACACGACAGCGACAGACGTCTTCAAAACATTTCTCTCTCTCTGCAAACCTTGTTCTCTTACGTTCACTGTTTGCTCGCCTTGAGTCTTCTGGGATTTAATTTTGTACACAATGGTGATGTAGAGTGTGGTGATCAAAACCAAAGGGATAAACCAAAATACAACGGTCAAAGCCAACATGTAGCTTTCAAAGGGCAATGACTCTCCAAACGCTTCCTTCCATTGCAGCTTACACGCCGGGCCATTTCGATTCTCGACGAGTTTCCAGGCAAAAAAATCTGGGGACTTCATGGCAAGGGAGATGATCCAAGTGGCGAGAATAAAAAGGCAACACAACTTAGAGCTGATGAGGGGAGAACGGAGAGGAAATACCACATCTACAAAACGATCAACAGCCACCAGGAGCATGCTCTGTATAGACACAAGAATGGACACCTCGATTGAGTAAGAAAAAATCTTGCACATCGCTTCGCCGAGAGGCCCTTTGATCAACCAGGTATCGACATACAACCTGGTCACAATACGTGGTAACAGAAAAATCGGAAAGAGGAGATCGGACATGGCCATGTTTAGAACGAAAAAGTTAATAGGTTTTCTTGGGGTTTTCGTCTTGCATACAACCAGTCCGATAAAGATGTTTCCAACCAGCGACGCTACGAAAAGGCCAGACAGAACTGTGGTTTCCCTGGTTCTTGCTGCTATTGGATCAAAGCAGCTCGTATCATGTGTTGCATTTGTGGTTACGTTTACGTTTGTCGTCATTTTTGCTATTCAGAGATCTGTGTATTCCTCAGCCAGCACATCTCTAAATGGGTCTGAGAAACATGTTAGCTTTGCTCTATCAGAGGAAGACCATCTGTTTATTAACATATATATTAAAATTTTTAAGTGGACCCAAAAAAATTGAGATAATTGCCCGTTTTAGCAAATACGTCCTGTAGCTGAGAAAGTTATGCTTGCCATGATAAGACATAAATTTTCAGAAGTTGTCTAGCAGGCATTTTGATTCAAACAAGTGCACAATTAGTATAAAAGATAAAACATTTCAGCGTTCTTTGCCTTTCATTCGAAATTAGTAATTCTTGTCCTCTGACACACGTTGATGGAAAATTGGAGAATGTGGAATAGGTAAATAGCAAAAATGGCTGCATGTGTTTATCATCTCATACGGCGCCTCAACTCAACCTCAAAATAACGTATAAAAGTAGTGTTGAATTCCAAATAGAAATGACAATAATTTGCCGTCGCGGTCTAGGTCCGCAAACGACGCAAATTTTGGGGATTCACGTTGTTGTTTTGCAAGGGACAGTTATGAAGTGCACTAAGTTTTAAAATGCACGTGCTGATCTATTATTCTGCCCTCGTTTCCGTCGCCGTCGTGGTTTGCTTAAGGTCCCTACTGACTTCTCCGTTACTCAGGGCGAGACTATGACAATGACATTTCTCTTTAATCTGTCCGTTTCCGATTCCCGTTCCCGTTCTCTGGTGACATTTCTGTTCCTCGTTCTGTCCAGTTCTAGACCCTCTAATGTTCTATCAAGTCGGCCGAACTAATGAAGGGTCAAGTTTCTAAAGGGACAGTCAGTACTGCGTCGGTGGGGGTACTACATGATAATCATTTAATGTCAAAGCAAATGACGAAGGCTAAAGCTCTAAACGTCAGCTTCTATTTTAACGTCAGCAACTATTTGACGTTGATCAGTTTACATTATCAACTCAGTTGATAAAATCAAATTATCTCTCAAAAAAACTACATGTACCATCTTGGACGTACCACTGAGTTTGTAATAAACGTTTTACACAGAAAAGCTGAACAAAAGCAACTAGACACCAACTGTTGCTAGGCATGATCACCCAAGCGACAGTTTTACAAGAAAGACCCTGCCGCTTTGTCGCCTTTTCATCAAAATTACGTCAAACTAAGTTCTTTTTTTCGCAATTTCTCTATGTTCCTACGCGTCAAGTTTTAATAACTATCTTAAAATACGTTCTTCACGTATAACTCCATGCAGCAAAGTGCCGAGCATTACGTCTTAAATTATCGCTGGTTGCAGCTCACGGTACAAGTCAGGAGTAAATTCAAATAGCTGTTTGAATGTAATGTATTGTGATGCAAATGAAATATCAGTTTTAAAAGCTGACAGCCACTAGCCGATTTCTGGAAACGTTTCGTTTCCCTTATTTTTATCGATTTCAGACATGCAAGTTATGCATAGTTAACATGAGTTGATAAGAAATTCTTTAAGTTTTTCCATAGAGGATTTTTTCAACTTGAGAAAATGGAGTAAAAACAACATGTAGTACAAAGTTATCATGCAGAGCATTCCAAAGATTCATGCTCCTTGCCCCGTTTACATGTTCTGTTTGTCTGAGGAGATAATTCGTCAAATAAATAACAAAGTCCTGAAAACTTCATATTGACTATTACTTAGTCTATTTGCATTTACATGTTCTGTTTGTCTGAGGAGATGATTCGTCAAATAAATAACAAAGTCCTGAAAACTTCATATTGACTATTACTTAGTCTATTTGCATTAGAAATAAATACGAAGTAAAATATAGTGAACAGGTCTAAGTTCACAACGCAAAATATTATTTGATGAAAAATACATCTTTCCTGAACCTACAACTTCATTCAATTCACCTAAGATTATTGGGTCGTTGCTCGTTCGGTACAAGAAAAACTTTGGATACAACTTTACGGTGAAAGAGGGGAGGGCGGGGTTATTCTCATCTATCGTGCAACAGGAGTCTTTTGTACGGTGGCCCATAGGGGACATGACACATTTTTTTTTATCGCGCGATAATTTCCATTTATCGCGCGATAAAAAAAATTGAATTTTACACATTTGTTGATTTAATTCATCTTTTCTTTGTCTCATAGATTAACTTGTCGCCCACGTGGAAAGCTGGAAGAGGAAATTCCTGTCAATCATTTTCACGATTTGATCACGTGCGACTCGGCTGTTTTCTCTACTTGAACATAGTGCTGGATGCTGGGTGGAATTCTGTTCGGTGACAAACAAAATTCTCTCGGCGACGAAGGAAAACTTACCTCTTAACATGCAAATTAGAAATCGGCTTTTCTTCGTCGACCGACTGAAAGATGGGCTCTTCCCCCAAAGAAACACAAACACACAACTGCTAGAAACTTATGAGGGGTCATCACCGTCAAAATCCTGTTTCAAATTCTGTGATGTGGAACTTGTGCAGTTTAAAAATTCTATGCTTAAAAATTCTAGAACAGAAATTGAACGAACAGAATAGAATTTAGGAAGACAAAATTGAATTTACACAAGTAGAAAGAAATTTAAATCATTGCAAACACGACGTAACCAAACTTAGAGCAGAAGAATGGAAATTGACGGTTGTAATTTCTGCTCCGTTGATGAACGAATCGAGTGGCATGGAACCCGGGAAAACCCAGTTGAACATTATCATTTATGAATATTTTAAATGCAATTGTTCCTGCGCAAAGAAAATTTCTGCTTTGAAAATTCCAAACTATTTCTCTCCTCAAGAAGAGGAATAATTTGCAGCTGAACCTGGACGAACTACAAACATTGATGAGAATCAACTACGCGACAAGTTTGAAGAAAGTTGGCCTTGTTTTCCAGCCGAAAAATTCGCTCGAAGGTGCGAATGTAAGTTCGAAGAGGCCTCGACTCGAAAGATACAGTCTCGATATACTCTCGATTGTAAATGATGAATCTCTTCACGTCCTTAGCCATTCAGTACTGTTTTCTCCACTACTGTCATCAACACCCAAAAAGCAAGTGGAGTCAACTGCAAGCGTCAAGTCTTCGTCGACTTCAGTGAATGTATCAACTGAATGGCCATCGAAGAAAATGGAACTTAAAACGAGGTAAATCTATTTCAGTATTCTCGAAAGTATTACTCGCGATCCTTATCCAATAAGGAACCATTATATACTTTCGTGCAAAAGTTTGACCTCACAGAACACGATTTCTGTCAGCCTTTCGTAGACGTTCCCTCTCCGTTTTTCTTGGGGGGTGGGTATGGCTACACGTAGGCTAAGTTCTGTCGGGTTAAACAAATATATATATATAAATAGTCGTTAGTGGAACTCTCAGGCCAACAAAGGTGCACCGCGCCAGGAGGATCAATAAAGATTCGCAGTCCAAACCTCACAGCAAACACGAACGTAGAAAGTTTAAAAATTGCGAAAGGGCAAATTAGCAACAAAATCCCTGGAGTGGCCCTTAAAGGGCCGACAAAATCCAAGAAAAGGGCCTTTAATAAGACGGAAAATTAATTACTATAAGATGGAAAATGAATTGATGTTTGGTCAGCTTAACAATCAGTTGCATTATGAAGCTTTGCAATCAGACCCAACCTCTAAACATTTGGCATGAGTAGAGAGTTGGTGCTCCAAATGGCTAGGAATAG